TTTGCGGTAATTGCCCGTGTGTGACAGCTCTCTCTCTCTCTCTCTCTCTCTCTCTCTCTCTCTCTCTCTCTCTCTCTCTCTCTCTCTCTCTCTCTTGCTGGCGCTCCTTAGTTCGCAGTTGCTCTGTCGGCATATCCTGTAGATAGACAAACTTTTTTTTTTTTTTTTTTTTTTTTTTGTAATCCGTTGTTGAAGTGTGTGCGCTAAGTGACTCGGATCTGCAAGGTTGGGGAAACCTGTGTACGTACACGACTCAGGGATTAGTTACTCAGTACAGCAGCGCCCGTACGGCAACTTGCTCCATTCTCTCCTTCACTGCCTTATTCTTCTCCTCCCATCAGAAACTAGCGGCGGCTAGTGGTGAATCTGGACGAAAAACGGTCCAGATTCACTGAAGACGGTTTTAATATTTTGTGCAGGTAGACGCCAGAATCCGTACGTACACCGATGTTTCTGTGAACTTTCGCCTACCGATCGCCTTTTTGCGTCTCAGATGCTTCTTTCTGTTACCGCTGACTGCGTATGTTGTTGAATATCTAATATCTTGAACCGTTTTTTTTTTTTTTTAGCACAGATCCGACCACTGTGGAATAAATCTTGTTTTTTTCCTTTTTTCGCTTATTAGTGAATTTTACTCCGGTGGTTAGAATCTGAGATATGCGAAAATTCCGATCGTGCGGTGAATTTTCATCTATCGATCGCCACGTCAGCGTCGATAACATAAGGCGACCGACACGGGCATCTATCCATCGCCACGTCAGCGTCGATAACATAAGGCGACCGACATACAGCACGCCCTGACTGACGGGCGTGCCGCCTTAGGCTCTATCAGTCTATCATATGATATAAAACAAAAGTGAGAAGTAATCCAACAAAACGACAAAAACCAGAGAGATTACCAAGAACAGAGAACAAAAGAAGAACAGCGGAACGAAACAGAACAAAATAGAAAAAAAATCATCCTCTATCCGCTTGATTCGATCTGGCAGTAGTAGTAGGCATTGATGAATTGTGCAGGGCATGTGGACAAGTAGGTGGGGAGGTGAATGAGAATAGGGTATAAATTCAGAGACAGTGGCTGAAAGAATTACCTGAGCAGTGAGGTAGAAGGGTAATCGCGACCATTGTCGCATGCCATGGACAGGTCGTGTATGCTGCGATAGTACAACCTCGCACGTGTTGTCTAATATTGCAAGTGTGTATCTCTCTCTCTCCGTGTTCATATTTCTTTTTTTTTTTCTTTCTTTTTTTTTAATGTTTCGTTTTTTCCTGGTGCTGCCTTCTTGAGAAACTATGGCAGAAGATCGAAGCTTGGGCGGCAATCAGGGTGGTGGGGCGGCGGGGACATAGGGGTGGGAAGCGGTGGGGAAGACGGCGGAGTAGCCGGAGGGGGGTGGGGGTCGGAGAGAAGAAGAGGAAAGCACAGGCAAGGGACGAAGATGGGGGAGAGACTGGAGCGGGAGAGGGGGGAAGAGGGGATGGAGGGAAGCGGATCAGGNGGGAGAGGAAGGGAAGGTGGGGAGGGAGAGTAGGGGGTGGTGAACCGGGAGGCAGCAAAGAGGCTCGGCAGGGGAGGAGGGTACCGCAAGGCGGATCTGGGGAGAAGCCCCCTAAGGAGTGCCAGGAACGCAGGCTGGCCGAAACGCGTCGGCGAAATTGTGCGCTTTTCTGAGAGCTGTACATGCGGAGAAGAAATGTAAATCTGTTGATGCGTGTACGAGAAGCAGTCTATGGCCACTATTCTTCTTTTTTTCCTTTTTTTCCCTTTTTTGCTTCTTTTGATCTTCTTTTTTGTCGAAGATCATTTCTGAGAAATTAAAGAAGCTGTACAACTATAAGCCATGGAGCAGTGACATAAGTTCTGGTCTACCGTCTTCACCCGAATAGAACGCTCCCCGATCATTGTAGCCCTATTTGGTGCAACTTGCAGTCCAGATACAGCTATAACGACCGGGCGTTCTATTCGGTTGAAGACGGTAGTGGTCGGGGTGTAAGAGGAGGAAGAAGGGAGGGAAAGAAGCGGGGGGGGGGAGCGGAAGTTCAGGGGAGAATAAAGGGGGATAGAGCGGGGGAGGAGGGAGGAGGGAGGAGGGAGCACTGGAGGCGGCGGATGAGCAGTGGAGCAGTCGTGTCGTTTTCTTGTTTAACGGCAGCGAATTTCGATTTTTTTTTTTTTATCTTTTTTCTTTTTCCCGCCTCTATAAACCTGAGAGCTTATCCGCTCAGAAAATGTGATCTTCTTATCCGATCACAAATCTAATCTTACCTGATTAGGAATCTAATCTTTACCCGATTAGGCAGGCAGGCATCTGATCTATATCCTTTCTGCAGAGAACCGCTTCCTCTCAACGGAGCGTGATTTGGCGGGAAGATCAGAAGATTTCTGAAGATCGTTCCTCATTTTGTTGCAAGTGATAGTCCATCAGTTGGCGGGAAGTACTTTTGGTGGCAGGTCAGTTGGCGGGAAGTATTTTTGGCGGGAGAAGTATTTGGCGGGAGGTGAGTTGGCGGGAAGTATTTGGCGGGAGGTGAGTTGGCGGGTAGTATTTGGCGGGAGAAAACAAAATATAGCAATTACAAATGGAACATAGCAATCAATTACCTTTATAGATGACAAAATACATTAGATGAAGTCTTGAGACATGCACGTCTACATACGATGTACATGTATATATATACACGCACATACGTTTAGATAGACATACACAAGGAAGACTCTCTAACCCCGCGCACACACAGGGAGCGAGATAGAGAGAGAGAGAGAGAGGGAGAGGGAGAGGGAGAGGGAGATAGAAAGATAGAGAGAGAGAGAGAGAGAAAGAGAGAGAGAGAGAGAGATAGAGAGAGAGAGAGAGGTGAGTGTGATACGTCATCATGCAGCTGGACGTGTCTCGTGTGCAGAAGGACCTCGTGGAAATAGAAAAGGACAAATTGCTCTCAGGTGTGAGCGTGTCTGTGTGCGGCGATGAGCTGTCTTTGATGAGAAGAACGGTCGTCAGCCCCGTCGGGACCCCGTACGAGGGCGGGACTTTCGTCGTCGATATTCCTATGCCAGACTAGCTCGTATGCATGCATGCATGCATGCATGATCGGGGTGTGTCGTGTTGGGGGGAAGACGACAGACAAGTCGAGCTACCTTAGGGGTGGGGCAAGCGATGGCTGCCGTGGATATCTATCCATGTGGTATTTTTTTTCTTTTTCTTTTTTAAATCCATGTGGTAAGTTAGGTACTCAGTTTTTATTTATTTATTTATGAATTCATTTACGAAATATGGATTTTTTTTTTCTTTTTTCTTACTTTTTCATTTTTTTCTGACCCTCTATTTTGCTCGCCTGAGTTAAGCGATGGCTGCCGTCGATATTTATCCATGTGGTAATTTTTTTTTTTTCTTTTTTAAATCCATGTGGTAAGTTAGGTACTCCGTTTTTATTTATTTATTTATGAATTCATTTACGAAATATGGATTTTTTTTTTCTTTTTTCTTACTTTTTTTATTTTTTTCTGACCCTCTATTTTGCTCGCCTGAGTTCGAAACTAAACCATGCCCTAACGCCTGCCACAGAGAGAGAGAGAGAGAGAGAGAGAGAGGATACTGATCGGAGTGAGAGGGAGAAAAAGAAAGTGGATGCTGATCTGGAGAGCGGATGCTGACCTGTGACAACTACAAAAACAAGACAGGAAGAGGTGGGAGGGGACGAGGACAAAGAAGGAAGATGAGCATTGCCCTTGCGCAAGGATGACACGCATCAATCGATAAATGGTCCACACCAAACAAAAAAAAACAAAAAAACAAAAAAAGATAAACGTTGCACTCACCTTCAGACCCGAGCTTCCTGAACACCCGCCCTCCGTCTGCTCGACCACGACCTTCCGAGGCTTCCGTCCAACCAACGTTTTCGCTGGCACTTCCTCGCTGCCCTCTGTCTGCTTCAACACCCGCCCTCCCTCTGCTTGAACACTGTCCAGGCAACTCCTGTGCTTGATTCTATTGAATTTGAAGCATGTAATGGCTTCCACTGCCCCGCCTGCCACTGCACTCCCACCGATGGCTCCCCTTCCATGCCCCCCTTTCTGAATGAATGCCCCCCTTTCTGAATGAATGAATGAATGACGGCTTGCCCTCCATTCCGATAGCTCCCCCTCCATGCCCCCCTTTCTGAATGAAATGAATGAATGAATGACTGCTTGCCCTCCATTCCCATCGCTCCCCGCCACGCATGCACAACCGGCCCGACCAGCTCCCCCCCTCCTCCCCCTTCGACACTTCTCGTTCCCTACACGTTTCAGCCTGCCCATGCATCCGGGCACCTTTACCCGCACCCGTACAGCCTACACAACCAATCCCTCGACACGTGAGGAATACCGCCATCTTCCCCAACCGTGACCGCTCCAGGACGGCAAAAAAAACAAACCCAACCCGCACCCGTACAGCCTACACAACGAATCGCTCGACAGGTGACGAATACCACCGTCTTCCCCAACCGTGACCGCTCCAGGAGGGCAAAAAAAACATACCCAACCAATCCCCCTACGAAAAACAAAAACGAAAAGAACGGACAAAAAACACACTGCCCAGCCTGCTGCAGGTCGCCCGCTCACCGACTGGTCTTAGACTTGCGGGCGACCGGACCCTTCGACGTGAATTTCTAAAGGCCGTATTCTGGCCAAAAAGACCCTACCAAGGCTTCATTCCGACCGACGACAACGACAAAAAGACAATGGCAATAGAGGCAGCCTTTTGGCTGCGAACTCTGAAGAGCCTGAAGTTCTTCCTGCCAGAAAATTCTACAGAGCAGAGTTCCAGCAGTACCTCGCCTAACGGGGCAGAGTTGGCTACAAGCAGCCTGCAGCTAAGGGCTGCACCGACCCTATCAGCTGCTCTGGTTGCGACTGGAGGAGCTGGCATGTAGAAGGGCACAGAGACACAGAGAGAGAGAGAGAGAGAGAGAGAGAGAGAGAGAGAGAGAGAGAGAGAGAGAGAGAGAGAGGGATTGCATGGAAGATGTAGACGATACTAACTGGGCCTGGGAAGGGGGAGGTTAGTACAGAATTTGATGGTTCAAATTGGGATAATTGGTAGAAAGAGCCCACGCCAAAGTTCGGCCGTTTGGTACTACCGGACCTTGGAGCGACGCGTGAGCCTATAGTATCCCACATGCATGTCATTGGGCCGGTAGTACCAAACGGCTAAACTTTGGGCGCCCAAAACCGAAAACCGAAAAGGTTTTGGCGTGGGCGCGTTCTACCGATTATCCCGTTTAGAAGGGCAGCGAGACACAGAGAGAGAGAGAGAGAGAGAGAGAGAGAGAGAGAGAGAGAGAGAGAGAGAGAGAGAGAGAGAGAGAGAGAGAGAGAGAGATTGCATGGAAGATGTAGATGATGAGAGAGAGATTGCATGGAAGATGTAGATGATACTAACTGGGCCTGGGGAAAGGGGAGGTTAGTGCAGAATTTGATGCTTCAAATTTGTTTCAGTCTGATTATGGAGATTTCAGATCAGTGTCAAGTTCCTGTTTACTTCCTCATTAGGAAGGATTTGCTGTTTCCTTAACTCCTAAGGGGAGGTCCACTTCACGTCCCTGCTCATTAGGAAACCTCAAACGTTTGTGTCCATGGATGACGCTCGCTTCTTTAAACTCATTTGATGTGAAGCAGCAGCCGTTTGATTCGCTCCATTTGGAAAGCTCCTAGCTTACATGCTCGTTCGGAAAGTCCTGACCCTGTCGATGATTGCACTTGTACAGTGTCTGAAAGGGAAAATGGAATATTGTTGTGTACAGAGCTGACTCGGTCAATGGTGGCCGATGCTCCTATGGAAAGTCCTAATACGATTCTTTGCTTAATGATCATGTAGTACATGTACACAATCGCCACCGATGATCTTCAACCTGTATGTTCGGGCATTACCCTCGGCATCACAATTCATCCGTGCCAGCATTGGGAAACACAAAAGGGGAAATTTCATCTGTACCCCACTTAAAGATGGGAATACCGGCTATACCCAGTCCGCACGCGAACTTGCATGTGTCTCCTGACAGTGCAGCTGCTGTTATTGAGGCCATACTCAGAGGCCGATATGAAGACTAGCCTCTTCCACTTAGGCTTGGACCCCACAACGCATTTTCAACAAAAAATCGGAGAAGTCCGTCCATAGAATGTTATTGGACCTTCGAGGGCTATCACAAGAAGTCTGGGGTGGGCGTGCGAGGGACCTGCACATTTCTATTGGTCCAATCCGGAAAAAAAAAGAAAGAAAAGTTCTCGGGAAAATTTGTCTGGCGCCCCTGTATTTTCCATTATTTTGCGTTGTGCCCCTCCGACTGTCAATTTACCCTGTCGCGCCCCTCTGACCACAAGTCAAAGTGTCCATAAAACCCTGGTGTAGTTTGGGCCTCATATGTTTTCGTGGTACGCACACCAAATTGCAGCATGCCCCTACCCGATAGCCGTTGGAATTTTTTTTTTTTTTTTTTTGAAGAACAGCCAAGCGGAAGCTGGTTGTAATTGTTTATGTGAACACTCATGCAATTGTGACGACAGCAAGCTAGCAAGCTACCAGGCTTGCCTATTCTGAATGAGGTTCGGCAAGTAGACCTACGCAGTGGCCTGAGCAACATGCCTACCAGACAGCCTTTGGAGGGTAATGGTATGTGACGTGCACCTCACGCCCTGTGCTGTCTTTCGTTTCGAGTGTGAGACATGCGGAAAGAGACCCGGAAAAACAGCAAGATGGGGTGTGCCAAGGATTTTTGGGAAATTGAGTGTGGGGACACAGATGGAACTGAAATCCTCCGTGATGGTCCGATGAAGCAAGTCGATTAGTTTCGCATGTCGCGGACTGCGCGCGCGGACATGGCGCGAAAACAGGAAGATCCAAATTCAATCCAGAAAGTACTGTCGGGCTTCCCACCGGGCTACAGCCTGTCGTTTACAACGGAAAGGCTCTGGCACGCTTCGCGTGTCTCGTTTGCGTATCAGATCTCGTCGTCTTTCACTGGTCAGCTCCGAATCCGACGTGGATGGTCTCAGCCGAGTGACTCTTTCCTTATGCTCGTCCTCACTCCGTATTCGGTAGTGGAAGCCCTTCGCTTCGTAGCGATCGAAACGCTGGCACTTCGTGCACAGAGTGCGGGGCCAATGGGGCGCTACTGCCGTCCACGGAATGACGATCAGCTCGTTAAACAGCAACAATATCGAGTAGGGTGAAAAGTGCGTATCGATAATGACAAATCCGGCGTCTACGAACCCATAACATCGGTTGGCCGGAGGGAAGTAATACTGCCCGCCGATTTGTGTGACGGCTTCTCGTACGTCCCACTCACATACACGTGTCCTTTCCTCACTGTAGGGAAAAGGTCGCATTGGGATGGGAGATACGGGAGGCTGGCGCCCAATCGAAGGGTGCTTGTCAGTCCACATATCAATCAATCACATATATCCAGAGGCATCATTAAGAGCAAAAATCATTCATGCGACCCTCAATCTACCCTTCTTGACACACGAGGGAGCAGACACACATCAGCTTGATCATGCATAGGGCTAAGGGACCGACCCGCGACTAGGTTCAATACAACATTGGTTTCCGGCGCCTTGTTTTTCGAGGTCGCCTGGTGGCGTGGCTGCTGATGTCGTGCCGCATAAGGCAGATGGCATGCGCAGTGCGTTCGGGACTATAGATCTAAACACTCTTGTATTCTCGAACAAAACCCCGACGACACTCGTTTAATCAATCCGAAAAGTCACGCATCTCTATTCATGCATTCAATGTGGAAGGTGCGAAAATGAGACATTCACAGGAAAAGATGGATTGCATTGCACAGTACACACGCATCCACTGTTCACAAGACAAGTAGACGGGGTCCTTGTGTAGGAGGATTACCCAGGAAACTAATGGAAGAGTTCCGGAAGAAGTTCTTTCACACAGAAATAGGAAGCCGACTCATTTTCATTCAAGAGAGGGACAATCATTCAGACGCATCGTCTTTCGAGAACAAAGAGAGAGAGAGAGAGAGAGAGAGAGAGAGAGAGAGAGAGAGAGAGAGAGAGAGAGAGAGAGAGAGAG